CACCCCACCCCACCCTCCCACCATCATCCTTCTAAGCTCCATTGAGTACAGACACAGAGTTCTCAACTGCTCCTCACATGACAAGCCCTTCTGCATGCCCTCCAAAGCCAGCATATTCTTCCCAAGATACAGAGCCCAGAACTGTTCACAATACTCCAAACGCAGTCTGTCCAGAGCCCTATACAGCCTCAGCCGTACGTCTCTGCTCTTCTTTCTAGCCTTCTTGAAATGAATGCTAACATTGCATTTACCTTCCTAACTGCCAACTGAGCCTTCTTGTTAACCTCAAGAGAGTTCTGACCTGGGATTCCCAGGTTTCCTTTGCGTCATACATTTCTGAATGCCCTTTTCTGTTTAGAAAATAGTCCATGCCTCTTATTCTTCCTATCAAAGTGCATGACCTCACACTTTCCCACACTGTATTCCATCTGCCACTTCTATGCCCATTCTCCTAACCTGTCCAAGTCCTTCCACAGCCTCCCTGCTTCCTCCACACTACCTGTCCCTCCACCTATCTTTTGTCATCTGCAAACTTAGCAACAATGCCCTCAATTCCTTTGTCCAAATTGTTAACTTATAACATGAATAGTGTGATTTCAACACTGACTCCACTAGTCACTGGCTACCATCCTGAAAAGGACTTCTTTATCCCCACTCTGGCTTTCTGCCAATCAGCCAATCTTCTATCCCAGCCTGTACCTTGCCCCGAACACCATGGGCTGTGACCTTCTTTAGCAGCTTCCTGCACAGCACCTTATCAAAGGCCTTCTGGAACTCCAAGTATATCACGTCCACTGGCTATCCTTTGTCTAACTTGCTTGTTACCTCCTCAAAGAATTTTAACAGATTTGTCAGCCATGACTGTTCCTTGATGAAGCCATGTGACCCAGCCCTATTTTGCCACGCATTTCCAAGTACTCCTCAGTGTCATCCTTAACAATCGACTCTAAAATCTTACCAATGACTAAGGTCAGACTAAGCGACCTATATAATTTCCTGTATTCTGCCTCCCTCCCTACCAGGGATATTACATTCACCATTTTCCAGCCCTCTGGGACACTCCCTGACTCCAGCGATTCCTGAAAGATCTCCAAAGTCTTTATAATCTCCTCCGCTATCTCCTTCACTTCTTCCTGGGGTGTGGTCCAATCTCCCTCTGGGCGATTGATCCACCTTCAGACATTTCAGCTTCCCCAGCACCTTCTTCTTAGTGATGGCCATGACACTCACCTCTCTCCCTGACTCTCTTGAAGTTCTGATATGCTGCTGGTGTCGTCCACTGTGAAAACTGATGCAAAGTACTGATTTAGTTCCTCCACCATTTCTTTGTTCCCATTACTATTTCTCCAACCTCATTTTCCAGTGGTCCAACGTCCATTTTTGCCTCTCTTGTATCTTTTATATATCTTAAAAAAAACTCTTGCAATCTTCTTTCATATTACTAGCAAGCTTATCCTCATATTTCATTTTCTCCCCCACTTATTATTTTCTTAGCTATCACCTGTTGGTTTTGAAAGACTTCCCAATCCTCTGGCTTCCCACTGATCTTCCCCACAGTGTATGATTTTTCTTTTGCTTTTATGCTGTCCCTGACTTCGCTCATCAGCAATGGTTGCCTCATCCTCCCCTTAGTACTTTTCTTCTTCTTTGGGGTGAATTTCTGCTGTGCCTCCTGAATTACACCCAGAAACTCTCGCTGTTGCTGCTCCACCATCTTCCCTTCCAATTAACTGTGGCCAGCTTCACCCTCATGTCTTTGTAGTTACCTTACCTTAACCATCACATCTGATTCCAGCTTCTCCCTCAAACTGCAGGGTGAATTCTACTGTATTAGGGTCACTAGCCTCTAGGGGTTCCTTCACCTTAAGCTCCCTAATCAAGTCTGCCCCATTACACATTACCGAATCCAGAACTGCCTGTCCCTAGTAGGCTCTAACACAAACTGCTCCTAAAAAAACCCATCTTGTAGACTCTCCACAAATTCCTTTTCTTGAGATCCACTTCCAACCTGATTTTCCCAGTCCACCTGTATACTGAAGTCCCCCATGATGAGAGGCATAGATAGAGTGGATAGTCAGAGACTTTTTCCCGGGGTGGAAATGACTATTACGAGGGGGCATAATTTTAAGGTAATTGGAGGAAGGTATTGGGGAGATGTGAGGAGTAGGTTCTTCACACAGAGAGTGGTGGGCATGTGGAATGTGCTGCCGGCAGTGATAGTGGAGTCAGATACTTTAGAGACTGTTAAGTGACTCTTGGATAGGCACATGGAAGATAGTAAAATGTAGGGTATGCAGGGTAGTTTGATCTTAGTAGGATAACAGGTCGGCACAACATTGTGGGCCGAAGGGCCTGTACTGTGCTGTACTGTTCTATATTCTATGATTATTGTAATATTGCCATTCTTACATATATTTTCTATCTCCTGATTGACTTTCTTCCCCACATCCTGACTACTGCTAGAAGGCCTGTATGTAACTCCCACTGTTTTCTTTGCGATTCTTCAACTTCACCCACTATATTCTATACCTTCCGACTCTATATCATTTCCTGCTATCAATTTAATTTCATTGCTTACTAACAAGGCAGCATCACCCCCTCTGCCCATCTGCCTGTCCTTTCAATAGGACATGTATCCTTGAACATTTAGTTCCCAGTCCTGACCCCCCTGCAGCCACGTCTCTGTGATATGCACAAAACCGTACCCGCCAATTTCAATCTGTGCCCCAGGCTCATTTACCTTGCTTTGTTTACGGCATGCATTAAGTACAACACCCTCTGCCCTGCATTGACTAGCTCCCTGCTCATAACTGTCCCCTGATCTGCTGTGCCTGAAGTTGGATTCCTGACCCATTTCATACCCTCTGTCCTATTACTTGTTCTGGAAACTTTAATAGTCCCTGCTGAGCCCTTTCTCCCTCTAAATGTTCTCATAATTTTCCATGCAACTAAACCCACAGCCACCCAGTATTTGGTTTAAAGCCCTAGCTGTGTGATTCTCAGGACTGTGATGATGTGCCAGTTTATTTTTTGAAGAGTGGTTGTAAGGCAGAGGAGACGAGCAGTCTGGAGTAACATAAACAGCTTGGGAGACCTTGGGTTTCGTTTAACAGCCTGAATGGATCTGGCCAGCTCTCACAGATCCAGATTTCTGGGTTTTGTTTTTTTTTCAGCAGCATCAGAAGCTATTGGGGTCTCAACAGAGTTGGAAGCTTCAGTGAATGTCTCTCGGCTGGTATTCTCTGAATTTTCTCTTGATATTTTTTTCCCCTCCTGGATTGGAGAAATGCATGTGAGAATCTATATCTGAATTTTCCTTTTTGCCAAGGCGTGTGTTTATGGGATGTTACTACACCGGAACAGTTAATTAGTAATGGTTATTGTATCTATTATTCTAGGTTTTCCAATAGAGTCAAGTTATTCTAAATTCCTCTTTATTTGGTTCTATTTTTAAACTACAGTGCTTGAACAAATTGTGATTTGCTTAATGTCGAGTAGCTTGACCAGTTGCTTTGCATCTGGAGCAGGCACTTCATATTTGCCTTTAAAAAACAAGAAAAAGTTAGTGTCTATGCTACCTTCTTAAAATATTTTGAGGGTGTCTGGTCTGGTGAAAAATAAGAACTCTGGTCACCACATGAGTCAAGCTGAACCCATCCCATCAGAACAGCTCCCTCCTTCCCCAGTCCTGGTGCCCAAGTCCCAGGAATTTGAACCCATTTCTTCCATGCCAATCGTTGAACCACATGTTTACCTCTTTAATCTTGTTGACTCTGTGCTAATTTGCTCATGGCTCAGGTAGTAATTCGGAGATTATTATCTTTGTGGTTCTGCTTTTTAACTTAGCCCCTAGCTGCTTATATTCTCTCAGCAGAACCTTTTTCCTCTTTCTACCTATATTTGGTACCTACATGGACCACGACAACTGGATCTTTCCCCTCCCACTCCAAGTTCCTCTACAGTCCAGATGAGATATCCTAAACCTAGACACCAGGCAGGCAACACAGCTTTCAGGACTCTCAACCTTGGCCAAAGAAAACATTGTCTATTGCCCTGACAATAATATCCCCAATCACAAGTACATTTTTCTCCCCATCTTGAATGGCTCCCTATACCACAGTTCTACGGTCAGTTTGCTCATCCTCCCTATAGCCCCCACTCTCATCCATGCAGTAAGCAAGAATCTCAAAACTGTTGGACAAGCTCAAGGACTGAAGTTCCTTCAGCACTGCCTCCTGCATCCCTCAACCTGTCCCTAACCATTGATCCTATTAGAGGTAGTTAATCTAATGGTTATGACTGCCTCTTGCTTTTAGTACTATTGCCATAATGTTGTCAGGGCCCATAGCCTTTGCAGTATCCAGTGTCTCCAACCAGTTATTGATATCATGTGGATTGAATCGAATTGGCTGAAGACTGATGTCTGTAATGCTGAAGAACACTGGAGGAGACTGAGATGGATCAACCATTCAGCACTTCTGGCTGAAGATTGCTGCAAGTGCTTCAGCCTTATCTTTTGAACTGATGTGCTGGGCTCTTCCATCATCGGGGATATTGATGGTTAGTTCATGAGCTGTAACATTTTGTTAAAATAGGATCAGAAGTACTAAGAACACATTAATCCAATGGCCTTGGAGCAATATGGAAAACCACAAAACAGGCATTAAAGATATACTAAGAATGGCAAAAAGTAAACGCAAAATGTTCCTGTAATGAATATGGAGGCTAACAGAATAGATAATAGGAACTAATAGGGAGGATCATTGTCAACTCCTCCTTTATTAAACATGGGGACCCAGCATCTTCACCCCCCTCCCCTCGGCAAATGTACTGAGGAACTGAGAGGCTAAATCCAAGCTGGGCAGAGGTTATTTATGAAGAGATGCCATTGGAATCTCACAACACATGCAGAAGCTGAAAACCTTGCTTTTCTGTGCACACCATGAATGTTAATGAGATTGTTGGTTCTCTTCAGCAAGATGAAGAAATCCTATACTTACAAAGAAGAGCAGATTGAAGAGGAACAGAAAATACTTGGTGGCTTTAATGCAGCCTTTTCCCATGGTTTTCCAATGGTCTGTGAGAATGGACAGAAAAAGAAATGTAACTGAGTTTAATATTCATCTCCATCCTTTAAAACATTCCAGAATACAGTAAACAGATCTCCCCTCCCCCCACCGCATCCCAAAACCAGTCCAACTCGTCCCTGCCTCCCTAACCTGTTCTTCCTCCCACCTATCCCCTCCTCCCACCCCAAGCCGCACCTCCATCTCCTACCGACCAACCTCATCCCGCCCCCTTGACCTGTCCGTCCTCCCTGGACTGACCTATCCCCTTCCTAACTCCCTACCTACACTCACCTTTCCTGGCCCCATCCCCGCCTCTTCGACCTGTTTGTTTCCTCTCCACCTATCCTCTCCTCTATCCCTCTTCTATCCGCCTCCCACTCTCTCCCTATTTATTTCAGAACCCCCTTCCCCTCCCCCTTTTCTGATGAAGGGTCTAGGCCCGAAACGTCAGCCTCTCTGCTCCTATGATGCTGCTTGGCCTGCTGTGTTCATCCAGCCCTGCACCTTGTTGTCTCGGATTCTCCAGCATCTGCAGTTCCTACTATCTCTGTATCCAATTAAACAGGCAGCTTGTGGCAGTGCGAAAAACAACCAGTCTCTTAAAATCAGCAGACAGCTCATTAAAAAATAAAGCAACTAGATCCAGCACAAGCTTTTTAACTTCACAATTAAACACCTTTGGATTTTCTGTTCAGGAGCTGTTTGGCTTCATCCGTGGGTCCCGGCCTGGCCGTCAGCCTGTGTCATTGAGTTATCAGTTGAGAATCAGGATGAGAAAGGAGAATTGAGAGCAGCAAAAAGCAGTGAGATGTTTGGAAGAGGAGCTACCAGTGGAATGGGTGGATGGACCAAGGTGGGAGTTGTTAGGAATAGTCACAGTAACCCACAGTATGGGTGGGGAAAATGGATACTGTAAGGTCAAGTCAGGTACTGAGGATTCACTAAAGCGAATTTGTCACCTCTATGGTGAGAGGGAACCAGGCTCCAGCAAGATATTGATGTAATCATCTATACACAACCCATATTAAACTGAGGCCATGCTGATAAACAGCACGAGGGGTCAGGGTGGGGTCAGGGGAAAGGAAAATACATGGTGTTATTGAAGGGATGGGCCTGGGGGGAAGGTGTGAATCGGCAGAGTAAAACATCAATTACATATGAATGGGAAAACACAGGGCAAGCAGACATAGACAAGAGGGGAGACTGTCAGAAGCAGAGATCCAGCAGAGAGATCCCGTTGATGGAGGAGTCAGTTTACAGAATTGGAAAACCCATTGTTCCGAGCATGCCCAGGATCCATGTCTTTGAAAGGTGGAGATTGATTGCCATGGAAACAGACAGCCCAGTGAGGTGGAGAACATCAGTGGGACAGTGGCTGGCTTGTGGTGAGGACGTACACACCGACAACAGTGACCCTCAAATTGAAACTTTAAGCCGTGACTAGTCGCAGCAGTGTGAGGGGGAATGGGCTGGATACTATGGAATGCAACGGACAATCGGATTGGAGCTCCAGCAACAAAGGGAGACACTGCAGTCCACTGGAGGAGAGCTGTCGGTGCCAGGGAAATGCAGAAAGTCAAAGCCAAATCTAATCAAAGTTCCAAACATGACCGACGTACTCAAAGAGCAGCAGCAGACAGGAAATACACACGTGTGCCTTCAAACCTGTGGTCTACGACCAGTTGTTAAAATACACCCACTCTCAAAATCAGGAGACCTGTCGCCACTAAAATAAGAGGAGTGAGAGGGACACAATGTGGAAAGATACAGTGATAATGGAGTCCTTTCAGGGACTGCGAGGCCAGGGGAATTCTTGAAGTGGGAGAATAGAGACAGAGCCTTCCTCCCAACTCCAAGAATATCCCTGACAATCTCTGATGAGCAAACTTGCTGTGTAGTTTGAGGCTCAGGGTAATTGATGCAATGTGTATTCCTGCTGGGCGACAATTTGTCCTTTTCCCCTTGGCCAACGCAGTGTGAAAAGACTCTGTGCAGTAGAGAAGCCCACCTTGTCAGTGAGCTCTCCATCTCTGAGCCTCTGCAGCCGATACACTGCATCACACTCACATGATATGTGTCACATAGGTCCATCATCCCACCTTCTTAAAATACCACCAGCTTCAACTACAGGCAAGCCGCCCAGCCAAAACAACAAACAAGGCACCATCCAGGCCTGGATCGACTCAATAGGCCAACACAGCTCCAGAAAATAAAGGCCGGTTGTTGAAATGAACAAGGTCACCTTCACCATCTTGAGGAGGGCAACACTGCATGACGGATTCTCATTTGACAGAGATTAATGAAATAGGAATCACTCAGGGCTGTAACCTAGGGTATGTGATACAGGATGGGTTGATTCGTTGGACAGGGTCAATGCCGGGTTGGTTGTAAAATACACAGATCCTCCAGGGTGCAGTCTCCACAGTCAGTGGGCCACACACAACGGACACGTTACCCATCACAGAGCACATGACACCAGCCAATCGCAGGGCACCTCCTTGAGGAGTCCAGTCAAGGCCTGTTCTTGTGGTAAACGCAAGGCAAGGCACATGCCATGCAGAGAATTATACAGTGAGATCCACACTCTCAAGGGGGCATGACCTCACTGTCACCGTGTTTACTGCAATGAAACCCAGCAACCAAACCATCAAAACAGCAAGGACTAGGACAAGCAGCCAAAAGCCATAAAGTGTGTAATGTAAACTCTGCAATAAATTCACCCGAGAGATCTAACCATTAATAAGACAGCACTGTGTATATGACTGAGGTCTGGAACCACTCAGTGTCTCACTGAGACACAGGCATCATTCCTACTGGGAACGCCACTCTCCCAATGACTTCTTCTACACGGACTGAGAGCAGGATAGGCCACATTCCCATACAGCGCAAGCAACACTTCCCGAGCAGGGACCGGGATCGGGGTTGGAGTGAGACCAGAGCATGGACCAGGATCGAATAGGATGGGCTCCACCTGGAACATTCTGGGACCAGAGTCCTGGAGAATTGCATAACTGGAACTGTGGAAAGGGCTTTAAGCTAAATAGTGGGGGTGGGGAAGAGGGGTGTTCAGTTGCATGAAAAATTATGGAAAAAGTTAGAGCTGGAGAGGGCTGAGCAGGGGCTATTAAAGTCTCCAGAACAAGTAAGACAACAGACAGAATGGAAAGAGTCAGGAATACAACTTCAGGCACAGCAGATAAGGGAACAACTGTGAGAAAAGGGGGCAGTCAATGCAGGATTGAAGGTGTTGTACTGAACTGCACGCAGTGTACAAAACAAGGGAAATTAGCGTGGAGCGCAGATTTAAATTGGCAGGTACAATGTTGTGGGTATCACAGACACTGGCTGCAAGGGGATCAGGGTTGGGAAGTAAATATCTAAGGATACACGTACTTTTGAAAGGACAGGCAGAGGGGCAGAAGGGCCGGGATTACCTTGTTAGTAAGAAATAAAACTAAATAGATAGCAAGAAGTGATATAGGTTGGAAGGTGTAGAACCTGTGTGGGTAGATTTGGGGAACTGAAAAGGGAAAAAGATCTTGATGGGTGTTACATAGAGACCTCCAACACACACATACACATACAGACTCACTGACACACACACACACACACACACATGCTCATACTCTAACATACATTGATACAGATGGTTCTTGTAGCAGCACAGCTTTAATTCTCAGTAGTTTCTAACCACTTCCTGTTTTTATTACAACAGCTGACTGTCTTTGAGACAGTGGTGGGGGGAGGGGCTCATGTGATGGTTCTGGGGAGGGAGGTGATGGCCTGCAAGTGAACTGTGGGAAACCTGTAGGACATGGTGAATGACCCAGTCAGCCAGGCTCAAAGGAAAGGATATTAGAGTGGACAGCAGTTTGAAACAGCAGGCTCTTTGCTCTGCGCAGACTGTGTATCACTCTGAACTGATTTGACAAAGTTTGATTAGAGCTGTGCCAAGATTTAATGTTCCTCAGCTGGAACAGCACATGCTTCACAGAGTTCTCAGCTTTGACTATACATCGTTGTGTGCTTCCTGCTCCTTTGCTGTGACAGTGTGTAAGTGAGGGGTACTCTCCCCCTGCTGCTCTCAGGGGAACTGTGCCTTGCTGCCCACTGCCTGTCACTGTGCCACACCGAGTACCCCGATTACACATGCTGCCTTACCTCCCGGCTGCTTATTCAACCAGCATTCCCCACCCTACAGCCCTTTATCCATCAGGCATTCAAACACAGTGATCAGGGATCTGCCTGGGGTTATCACCGGCCTTGTTCCATCAGGAATCTATATACAGTGATCGGGTATCTGCCTGGGGTTATCACAGGCCTTGTTCCATCAGGGACCCAGACACAGTGATCAGGGATATGCCTGGGGTTATCACAGGCCTTGTTCCATCAGGAATCTATATACAGTGAGTTCCTCTAACCTTCTGCCCCACCTTAAATCTGCACCCTCCATCCCCTCCAACCCAGTCATTGGTCCCTCCATCACGGGCAAATGTTTCTTCCCGTCTACCCTATATTTGTGCCTCATAATTTTATACATCCCTGTCATGTCCCTTCTCAATCTCCTCTACTCTAAGGAAAACAACCCCAGTATGTCCAATCTCTCAAGTAACAGACTCTTCAGCCCAGGTAACATACTGGTAAATCTTTGCACCTTCTCTCATGTTATCAGAACACTCCCATAATGTGGCTTCCAGAACTTCATATAATACTCTAGCTACGGCCTAACCAATGTTTTATACAGTCACAGCATTACCTCCCTGCTCTTAAACTCTGTGCCTCGGCTAATAAAGGCAAGTATCCCTGTGCCTTCTTATATTTTATCTAACTGTCTCTCTACCTTAAGGGACTGGTGAACAAGCACACCAAGATCCTACCGTTTATGTATTCCATTGCCTTGTTAGTCCTTGTTAGACCAAGTGTCTCACCTCTCACTTATCCAGATTGAATTCCTTTTATCACTGACCAGCCCATTTGACCTGCCTATCTCTATCCTCCTCTAATCTAA